ACGTTACATTTCATTAAATTCAATGCACGTTTTATCCAGTCCAGAAAGATGAGTGAACCCGTTTTAATTGATGAATATATCAGCATCTGTTCATCTACATTCTACATGTTAACCAGTCTATCGAAGAAAAAAAAAAAGCCCCTTGATAGTTGACCTCATACCTCCTGAAAAACCCCAAAAGTGAAAAAAACATGCCTTTTAGCTTGCTGGCTCAAATGTTGTCTGGTCATCCACCAAGTTAATTTTGGAGTAAACCATGTACGCATTTGTATTTATTTACTATTTACATTGCTTCACATTCAAAGTACCATTTCTCACGTTTGTTGATCACACTTCCTCTTCTAAACACCATCATTTTTGTTTTAAGTTTTACCTTCATACCATACAATTTACTATCCTGATGCATGTTCAATAATCCAGGTAGAAAAATCTAAAAAAGTTAAATCTGGTCCTCTGGACATTCAAAAAAAAAAAAACAAAGCAAATCAACAAAAAAATGTAGAAACGTTTCGTCTCTCATCCGAGAGACTTCCTCAGTCTGAGGAGCTGTATTCAGCTCAGTCTCTTAAATAGCACCGTCTCAGAGTGGATCAACCAGTTTGCTGCTGACAACCAAAACCAGCTGATCACATGCTCAAGAAGGACCATCAGCATAACAATGGATCATTAGCACCTGATGGCTGTTTACTGTTCACAGAGGGCTGAGTGATACTAGCAATCACAGCATTGTAAGAGGGGGACAGTTGAACCTGGAGGCTCCACCCCTGTTTAATGATGGACGATTTCTTTTCACAAAGATGGCCTCCTTTACTCCTCTCTCAAACCATCGTTCCTCTCTGTCCAGGATGTGAACATCTTCATCCCTGAAAGAGTGACCTCTGGCCTGGAGATGAGTGTAGACCGCAGAGTCCTGGCCTGATGATGTTGATCTTCTGTGCTGGGCCATCCTTTTGGCCAGTGGCTGTTTTGTTTCCCCGATGTAAGACTGATCACCCTCCTGACACTGAACAACATACACAACATTACTCTGTTTGTATCAGGGGACTGGATCTTTGGGATGAACCAGTTTTTGCCGTAATGTATTTTGGGGTTTAAAAGCCACTGGGACGTTATGTTTAGAAAATAAACGTCTCAGTTTCTCTGATACTCCCTCAACATATGGAATGACCACTGGTCTGGGTCTGGGTTCCTCCTTTTCACCTGTTGGCTGACTGGAGTCCTGTTTGGGTTTCTTCTCTGCTTTCAGGAAGGCCCAGTTAGGATATCCACATTGCTCTAGAGCCTGTTTTGTGTGGGATTTCTCCTTCTGCCTGGCTCCTGAGCTAGTGGGGACGCTGCTCTGTGGTACAGAGTCCTGATGACTCCTAACTTGTGCTCCAAAGGGTGATGGGAGTCAAACTGCAAATACTGGTCTGTGTGGGTGGGTTTGCGGTACACCTCAGTTTGCAAATGTCCTCTATCAGAGACTGAGACCTCACAGTCCAAGAAAGCCAACCTGCCATTTTTTACATCTTCTCGTGTGAACTTGATGTATTTATCCACAGAGTTGATGTGGTCAGTAAAATGTTGGACTTCCTGAGATTTGATTTTAACCCAGGTGTCGTCAACATACCTGAACCAATGACTTGGTGGTGTCCCTGAAAAGGACGTCAAGGCTCTCTTTTCTACCTCCTCCACGTACAGGTTGGCAACAATAGGAGAAACTGGAGACCCCATAGCACACCCATACAATACACATTACGAGAGACTTTACGATAAATTTACGAGAGATATTATGATACACAATATACAATTTACTAGTTTTCCAGAACACCAATTTGCTTCTGTAGTCTGAAAACAGAGCCTGATACACTTGACAAATCATCTTGCAAACAGCAAGGATACAAGGTTGGTTATGCTATCAATATGAGTCAGAGTCAGAGTTTCTTTATTGTCATTCGCACCTCATGTG